ATATTAGTACAGATAATATAAATATTATAAATCATGCTACGGTGAATACTGGTTAAGGTTAACCATGCAACAGGAGTTAGTGTTGCCATCAATAAAATCGGTGTTTTGTAAAACTAATTAAGCGTCATTAGCCTAATGGTTAAGGGTACGGATTTTCGATCACCAGGTTGGGGGTTCGAATCCCGTTATTCGACTATTGTCGTAAACCATATCCTAGCACAGGCCTAGAGCTTAATTTGAATGGTAAAAGAAATATTAGTAAATTTACTTAAAATCTGCTAATATTTTATATGTATAAAAATACATAAATATTATTATAATAATAGAATAGTTGACAAAATGTTGATATTGACAATGTTGGATCATCATCATCATCATCAACCTGCCCTTATCCCTATCGAGGGTCGGCACAGTATGTACTACTCCTCCATACATCTCTATCAGCCGTCATATTCGAGTCTACCCCCTTCTTACGCATATCCTCTTTGACACAGTCATTCCATACTTTTGGATATAGTTATTATAAATAATTTGTAAGTAACGTGTAAGTTAAACATGTTGTGTATTTACATAAAGTAAAGTTCATAGTTTGTTAATTATAAATAAATGTTTGTGGCATGAATTATAATTGATATAGATCATGAGAAGAACATTAGGAAAATATTACGAATTTAATAAACATTGTAAAATATTATCGCGTTATTTCTTCTATATAACATAAATATGACTATTTATAAATTAAATGTGGCCTTAAATGTGAATTCCACTGACAAATTTACTGTAAATAACATAAATATTTTTTCAATGTAGGATTACAATTTAATTCTGTAAAATGTTTTGATAGTGGAAACAGACTTTAAGGCATTTGATGTTTTACGGTGGTAAGTAGACTCTGATACTCTTATTTATCTGTGTAACAGTGGGTTTCTGAGATCAAATCTCCGTTTAAAACATATTGTAATCTCTGCTTTGTCAAAGATGACAGGGATGACGATATGTTTTATACAAAGGTTTTGATTTCAGAAACCAACAGTAATTGTGGCTAAAATAACAAGTTAATATTGTAAAGTTTTGTCAGGTCAGATTTACTAATGTTGGATATACAAAATTTGTCTAGAAGACAGATTAGTTTAGATAAGGGCTGTCGATCGTAAAGTTGTTTGTGTTGCTACGCTACGTTAGATCTAGCCCAGGAGTTCAAGAACTGATACGATAATCTGTCATAATGAGGTAAACACGTCTGTTACTTCCTAATTGTTATATTAATTATGAAGTTGTGGAAAATTTTATTTAATGATAATTAAATCTATTGAATGTTATTGTTGACTTTTCTTAATTACTGATAGTGACCACGTGATGTTTGCTCACATGATTCTCCCTGCTAGTTGACATACCAATATTAATCGGAAATATTAAAATGAGTTAAATCTTAAAACATATTTATATAACGTATATGTATAGTAGGTTTAAAAATATTAGTCTTATATATGTAACGTTTTAATATATAAAGGCAAAGGTCATACCTGTTAAATACTTTAGAGAAGACGCTAGTGTTGTGACTGTCGGCGGAGGTGGGGAGCGAGTCAGCCTGCGAGCCCGGCGCCGCGCCCCCCGCACCCCCCGCACCGGTCGGCCCCTCGCCCGTCAGACCCTCCACCCACGACAGGGGGTACGAGAGCCGCTTCAACATCTAACACAAAGTTAATTTAATATTAAAAATTGCATACTTACCACATTATCAATTGTCTAATAAAAATTATTGAACAATAAACAGGAACGATAACTACCCTACTGAGTTGTTAATTTACATTTAGTGTAGTTTTTCCAAACACTAAGGGATCCTAGATCGTTAAAATGAATAGGGCTGTTAATCCAAGATGGCGTCATGGGTCATGGCGAGAGAACATTTTGGGTTGTAGTACATCTTAGTTTCGACATACTTTATTTTTCTTATCGGGTTTTCCAATATCCTCCTTCTGGTTGCCGTCGAGGGAGAAAGAGACGGCTGCAGGTTTGCGTGGTGCGCGCTCGTTCTCGCCGAGCGGGGGCGCGGAGAGCGGCGGCTCGGCGCGCGGCAAGCACACCGGCGGCACCCACTCCGCAGACAGCACTATGTCCGCGTCACTGTACACCTGCAACATACTAATTCATATAGGAAGAACATTCCAGAAGAAAAAGCTGAACGTGAACAGCTTAAATAAGAGATCCTCAGTAATAATACAAAATGTTTAATCATAAATTTTTAACTGTAGTTGATTTAAAGAAATCACGGACGAAAATATCACAATTTTCCATTAAACTGAAAATCAATTTAGAAATATAAAAAAAAAATTCGTGGAGATGAAAAAAACGAACAAAAGTCATCGGGAACAAAGAAGACATATTTTTAAATTATTTGAAAGACCAGATAGACACGGAAGAAAAATTTTAGACGCTGTAATATAAAGATGACAAAATCTCACTCGAAAACCAACACAACACTGCAAGACTAGAGTTTCCAACTTCACCAAAGTAAAAAGACCACGTATAACCTGCTACCACCATCTCACCTCTTCATGCGAGGTGCACGAATGCACCTCAACATCGTAATCTGTATAGAAGTGTTCTAGAAACTTCTTCTCCTGTTTATGGTCGAACATCGGCATATCTGACTCTGCGATCTCCATTATAGGTTCAATGGCGTGATGATAATGATCGTGAGTGTCTGCGTGACAGCAGTCCTCGTAATCTGACAGTGATGATACAGAATGGCTATCCTAAAATGTATTCATAATATGTTTACATCGAATTCTCTTGGAAATTAATTAATTATTTCAGCTATTAATTCTATCATACTATCTTACGCAGCTATGTCTGTTTCTTTACACATTTTGTTGAATTTAACATTTTAATGTTAAATAACAAGTAAGGTACTAGTCTGACTATGATTTCTATAGTTGACGATTAATTAAGACGTTAGCCGCTGGCTCACTGACCTCCATACATGGAAAGGCTATAAGAAATGGTATTTTGTGCCTATTTGAATTGTAACATAAGTAACCTGTCAATAACTTCAACAGGCGCGTTTAATTCTGAGGAAAACAATAACTGTAATATAGAGATAAGTGCGCTAGGTTTGACTTTTCCTTCATACCTTCTTAGAGTTGACAGGAGTGACATGCAGCAGCGGGTCGCGGATGTCAATACCGGAGTCATGGTAGGAGAGTTTGACAAGATGGCGCGCTGCGTCCCGCGGAGCCTCCTCCTCACCCTCCCCGCCCTCGCCCACCTCCCCGCCCTCACCCGCCTCCCCCGCACCGCTCTCCGCGCGCTCCGTGCCCGCACACGCCTCCAAGCTCTCCTCCTTCACCTGCTCCGCGTTAGATGACACCTTCACAACATTCAAAATAATCTTATTAACGTCTTATTAATATTATTAATGCGAATATATAGAAGGATGGATGGATAGATGGATATTTGTTTGAAAGTATCTCCAATACGGTTCAATGGATCTTCTTAAAATTTGGCATAAATGTAGAACACAATCTGGAAGAACACAGACTACTTATTAAGTTTTCTTAATTCGGCGCGTCTATAGTCGCGGGCGACATCTAGTTACTAATTAATTAAAACTTACTTCACTTCCTTGATCAATCGACATTCTATCTTTGGTCGGAATGGCCCAGTGATGGTCCAACAAGGATTTCCGCCTCTCTTCAGTCGTCTGTTGCTATAAACAAAACAATCACATAATTTATATTCAATTTTCATCTTGTGGAACCTGACACAGGGGCTCACATCAAAGTGACCAATTTGTGTTACCTGCAGTGCTGTGGGAGTGACGAGATCCCTCTCAAAGGCCTTGGGGAAGGCGGCGCCCCCGCGGTCCTCAGCGGAGCCCGGCCGCTCCTCCCCCTCGCCCGCCTCACCCGCCTCACCCCCCGCAGCCTGCAGCTCGGGGAAAGTCTCGTCCTGTGGAATGTATCGTGTTAGTATGTCGCATTATTATATCTGCTACCAGAGACTAACATTGAATCACTCACTTTGACTAGAAGGGAGTCTTTGCCGGGCGAATGTTCCGCTTTATTCATGTAGTAAATCTCGGCTTGCTCCGCCCTGTGGAATATTAAAGTCCTGCTATAAACGTGGGTTATTAATAAATTAATATTACTTACTAGAAATATAAAGGTAAAAGTTTACATGGATGGATGTTTATTAAAAGGTATCTCCAGAACGGCATAACATACATTAGTAAAATTTGGCATAGATATACAACATAATCTGTAATAGATAGGACACTCATTCAATTATTTTTTAAATATACTCGGAAAGAGTCAAGGGCAGAAGACCGGTAGGCTAGTTTCAATTTACTAAAATAAAGTTAAAAAATAATTGAACAATCAAAATGAAAATCGCAGTAGTATTATAAATGTCATAAGTAGAATTATTTCTATTTCTATTTAAAAATATATTTACGTTTTACCGTAGTCGTAAAAATTAAATTCGTTCAGGTGTTTTCTACTGGGTATTTAAGTTAATTAGACTTATAGTTAACACTAGCTTTCTCTCGCGACTCCATCCGCAGGGAATTAAAAAAAATAGCCTATGTATTCTTCCAGACTATATTTTACATCTATGTCAAATTTCAGCAAGATCCATGCACCCGTTGTGGAGATATCTTCTAACCAACATCTATCCATACTTCGAAACTTTTGCATTCATAAAATTAGTAAGATTAGGAGTCAAAAAATTTAATATTTCTTTGTTTTAGACAAAAAATACTATAATACTATTAATGACTAAACATACAAGATTTATACAAAAATATTTAGATTTCTATCCGCTATAACAAAATAAAACAAATATTTTGTTTATTATGCCGGTATGCAGGATAAACACAAAATAAAAACAAATCGCCATTCATCGAAGCAAGAGAACAAACACACGTAATGAATGGCTTACACAAGAACATGGGAATTTTATGACCGTACAATTCAATAGTCCGACTCACGGCATATTTATATAACTCTTATGATTAATACTGCAACAATGTTTGCCACTATTTTTAAAGAAAGCGTTATGATTTTTTTTTATTTTATGTGCACAGTTGTTACTGACTGCAATTACTTGATACCTAGTTAGGTTTGTATAAGATTTAAGATAATCTTACTAATATTATAAATGCGAATGTTTAGATGGAAAATATCTCCGGAACGGCTCAACAGATTTGTAAATTTGGCACACATATACAACATAGTCTGGAAGAACTTTTAAGTTTTTTTTTAAATACACTAAAACATTTGAACCCAGAGTTATTAATCGGTAATTAAGGAAGGACACTAAAGGTTATCCTTTGAGTCTCATCTCTGAGAATCACCACTTAAGACTGTGAGTTTCATAGCAAAGCAACTAATTTTAATAATATATATAAATGCGAATGTTTGAATGTATATTAGAAAGTATCTCCAAAAAGGTTGCATGGACTTCGCTGAAATTTGTCATAGATGTAGAACATAGTTTCGAAGAGCACATAGGCCACTAATTACTTTTTAAAACATAAAATAATATAATGAATACAAACGGTAGGTACTTGTGCGCGTTGTGGTCAGGTCCGTGCGTGCGCATGTGCGCGATGTCGTAGAAGATGGCGGCGTTCACGACGTACTCCATGGGTGCGATCACACCGTACGACTCCGGGCCGTGCTCCATCACCAGCGTGTCCGACACGTTCGGGTCGAACATCACCGCGTTCGGTGTCACCAGCAGCACTCCCGACACCACGCCCTAAATAAATATTTATTTTGATTAATACTCAATTGGTAAAATTTTAAGGACAAACGGATTATATCAGGGGTGGTATATACGTATAAACGTGTCGTCAAACAATTTAACTTTGTGATTATTTCGTAGTAGAATCACTCATTTTCACATTGCATAATGAATATCGTGATTATGAGGTTTGACACCCCTGGACTCATGTTGGGCAAACATTACGATAATTTAAGTGCAATTTCGCTGAATCTGAATAAACTGCTTGATTTAATTAGTTGTGAAAATAAAAATAAAGTAAGCCTTATAGGCTTGGAAAATATTTAATTACTCTCAATATTTTGAATTGACTTAAAATTATAACACACTACACTTCCGACTTAGAGAAATGAAGCATTGTTTGCTCAGTTGGTTAAATACTTTACATTACACTATTGATAACGATTGTGGTAATACAATTGCTGGTTGATGGCTCTTCCTTTGTGTATTATGTCAAGTTTTTTGTATGTGGTACATGTAATTTACCTGTCCATCAGTGATGTGACGGACGTTGATCTTGAGGAAGCGCTGCGGGGCGTTGCTGCTGGCGGGCGCCTCGGGCGACACCGGTCGCAGGCTGTCCAGAATCTCTGAAATATCACCAGCATTGCATTACTATCAACATCAGTCATAAATCTGTCAAAGCGAAATCTAGAAACTAGGCTTTCAGAAACGTACACCCGCATTTAAACATTCTCTACTTACATTGTAAAGAAATAATCGATTCTATCTCGATTTTTTTACACATCAAACTACTAGGAATACAGAAAACGTTATTAACATTAGGAGGTTTTCGAGCGTGAAATTTTTATCGCAAAATTCAATGTTCCTTAATTTTTTTCTATGACGTTTGTGAATGCGCGTGCTTGCTATATGTTACTGACGTAATAAATTAATCACAGATAAGTTTGAGTAAAGGAAAAATAATGACGCATAACAGTCATGTACTACAAAAACATTGCATTATGAAACTGGGCCATAGAACTGCATAATTTCTATGTGCAGGTTGAAGTTAAGGTAATACCGTGAACAGCTGCACGACTCGGTGATAACGAGGTTTCCATTACCACGGTGCGATAACGTGCCGGTAATAAAAATGCGAATACTTTACACCACCATTAAACCGAGTTACGCACACTGAACCGCACTTTACATGTAATGAACCAATTTAAACGCCGGCAAAGATCGTAAACCACTTCTTGACACTAAAATGGTACATTAAAGAGCATTTAAAAAGGCAACTCATCATTTAGCCTTAAAGGTTGAACTAGTTTAAGTTGTGAATAGAGTTAAAAATTACCTTTTTCCTGTGCGGGTTCGCTGGGGGCGCCCTGCGTGGACTCGGACGTGTTGTCCCCGCTCTCCGACGGCCCGTCCGACTCTTTATCGCCATCTGAACATACAAACACGACATTGTCACAATTCTCACCCACATGTTATACTCAAAACAAAAGAAATATGTCGTGAGATTCGCAACAAACCGTGATACCAACGCTTGAGGAATTCAAAATTAAACATTGTCGAGCAGCTGAGTGCGAGTGGCTGCCGCACACTTATCTCCGCTGATAAACCATATCCATGTCTGTTATGATGTGCGCGCGACCGTAGAAATTGTTCCTATTTAGTGACAGCACTGAATGTGGGACAATTTGGACGGCAATTTAAAATAGAAACTCAGCGCAATGCACGGCTATGGGCGGCGCGACCGCATTTGCCCGCTGCCCGTCTCGACTGCTTTTGTAACTTTTGTTTGCCGAGCAAACTGTAGAAAAAAAAATAATTTCAAGACTACGTCACACGTTAACAACATCAAGGCTGAATGTTATTGTTTTGTTTCACGAACGGACAATAGTGAATAGATCGGATCCGTTATAAATATTCGATTATTGGATTTTTTCTTCGTAATTAAATCGAGTTGAACCAATAACCGATGTTTTATCTATAGCAACGAACTTTATAAATTTATTGATCATTTAATTATCCGATCTACTGTTCACTATAGCTATTTTCCCGGGAGAAAGAAAAAAAAAACTATAAGTCTATTGCAACTTTACATTTTATCATATTAACATTTTTTGATAATAACGCATTATCAAAATACGTATGAGATATTTCGCATTTATTCTCTTTATTTCCGTGAACTAATCTGATAAAATTGTTTAATCATGTCCCAAGTAAACCGCTACTGATCTAATTAAAATAAAAAAAAAAACGTAACTCTATCTACAATCTTACAATGCCATCACATAATCAACCTACTATGGTATAGTTCCCTACATACTTTAAAACACACTCTTTTAAAAACAAATGAAGTCAAAACAGTCTTTTAAAAACAGAAGTCTACTGTATTTTGCAATGCGACAAAACAAAAAAAATCCTTGTCTTTATTATTGTCTAATGTTTGGGAAATAATGCACCTGACAGCGCATTATTGAATAAATAAAATATCGATCGTTCTAAAAGGCACTTGAAGTGTTCCTTTTAGAACGATCGATCGCTGTTACAACGTTTAGATCGAAGGTCGACTTTCGCAAACAAACAATTTCTTATTCGATTCCTCTCTAATACTAAACACTGAGTGTCTCAACTTTACGATACAGTACGCAGACTAAGATACTGAACCAACTTTTTATTACGTCAAAGAGATTTAAATCATAAAAAAGTGCAGACCTACTTTTTATACCAACAACTTGGGATGGACGGACATTTAAAGAGTTTTAAAATAAGATTCGTCTGCCCAGGCAAAGCTTGTTTCAGAGAAACATGCAAATGAACTAAAAAACAAACAATGAAACTTTGTACAATAAACCCGGCAAGTTGTACAAGAACAAGGACGACCGTCCCCCAGTTTGAGAAATGTTCCGCTTTGTATCACATTTAAAATTAATATTCTAATTATTTTAATAGCGTTTTCTTTAAGTTAAAGAAACTGTATTACTGCGACCTTTGGAAACGAATCTATGTGATAGTATTTATAATCTATATGTAATCCGTAATCCGGTTATTTTAAATATCTTACAGTATTGTTACTATGTTCGCTCCCAGGGGATGTTTATGTTACAAAAACAATTCCATTTGGCCTAAGAGTAGGTGAAAAAGTTTTCACGTTTATGCCTGCACAGGATTAAAAAAAATAATAGTCTATGTGTCCTTCCAGACTATGTTCTAAATCTGTACCAAATTTAATAAAGATCCGTTCCCGAGATACCATGCAAATTTTCGCATTTATAATATTAGTAAGATTTAACTTCACATAAAACAAAAAATACATGATTAAGTCAATATTATTTTAACATGATTTTTAAAAATTTTCGTTATCTCATCATCATCACCGTGTCCCTATCCCATTCACATTGAGAGGTCATCTTCCCTGATTCTCTTGAAGAAAAACGTTAACTTAAAATATTCAGAATTATTGGTACCATCGGAAGGATTCTTTGATGTTATTCTTACCGATGTATACTAGAGAAAAATTCTCATTTGTTTATATAACTAGTCTATCAAGTAATTAGAATTGTAATGGTATAATTAGGCGTGAAATATTTTGAATGGAAATTTCTATTTTTTAACAAGCTTCATTAAGATTTAATTACTGTTTGAGTAACAAATATATGCTATTCATATAGCAAATTCTGTGTTCGTAGGTCATGATTTTAAAGTCAATTTACTTTGTCTTTAAAATTGTACGAATAGGGCATATAAAATAAATATGATACTTTTTAATTACTTAATAGAGGAAATGAACAAGAATTTTAAGATTCCAGTATTCCCTTCCCTCCATCATTGGTCATCCCCTTTGTCGTGATTGTCGTATACAAAGCTATTAAAATGCAGCCTGCGTTAAAATATTACTCAAACCTTTTATTTAAAACGAAAATCGGGTCAAACCAACATAAGAAACTGAGTACGTAGAGTTGAGCGTATTCTCTCGTATTTTTAATAAAATTAAAATCACCACCCCCCAGAGTATGAAAAAACAGTAATTTTTTTACCTACAGTATGACAGCATGTCTTCCGATTATTCGTTTTGAAACGCACAAATATGCGCGGTTATTATGGGGAGTCTTAAGCTTTCTTTTTGTGAATATGTCGTCTTCTACCATAGGTTATATGTAAGTATCGTAGTGGAGTGCTACTGACCTTTCCTCTTGTCGGGCACGAGCAACGTCTGCCCGGGGAAGATGAACTGCGTGGCGAGCCGGTTCAGCTTAGTTAGCTCCGAAGGCGTGGTATCGAAGCGCGCCGCCAGCGACGTCAGCGTATCACGGTCGCGAACCTACATACAAATACAAAACAATTATATTTTTATTTGTTTCTTAGTGCCCAAAAAATAAAGCTGGATTCAATATCTACCTCATTAACCCAAACTCTTTTCTTCTCTTTTCTCGTAATGCCTACTCTAAGTCTAATTTAAGGGGAGTCCTAAGTAACCTTCATACCACTCCATGGACGTCAGTTATAGATCAAATAAATTATTTTGACTTTCGCAATCAGAGATAAAATACTTTTTAAAAAGTAACGTTTTATTTTCTTGCACGAAACTGATAAAAATGTGTCTTCTTCCAACTATAAAATGCTGTATCGTATACAAAAGGTTTTCTTCCTCAACAAATTGTTTACATTTACTTTGCATTTTGTCAGTAACAAGTGACGTTATATTTTCCTTTGGTATTTATGCAACGTCACGGCTCACACGATCACGTAGCGATAGAAAACACGCGACGTCAAAATCCTTATGAGAACAAATAGCAAAGGTGAGGTTTAAAATATTATGCATCTACATGTCTTTAATTATCTTTTTTTGGTCATATTTTTCGATATAATTTAGTCATCAAATATATGTTACATTCAACATGAGATGTATATCTGAACCGTAGGTTTCTAGTTCTGGAGAAACTGAAATTGCATTAGGAAAAAAAATTTATAAGAGTAATTTTGAAACTTTGACTGGTATTTCTGCAGTGAAATCTTACGGTGATGTGAATCACTTCTGTATATTAATGTGTAAATCGGCGACTAGTTGATGACAGGGCTACATACGGAAAACCACTAATCGACATCAATTTATCAGTCCACTCCTAGAAATACTGTTTTTTTTTAATCTATCTCTAAGTCTTGCTCCTTTTAGTTCAATTGTACAATTAAAGATACACACGCTCAGTTTTAACTAAACAGTCGAACGTCTGTAGCGAGCTTTATACAGATGATACTTGAACAGAAAAACCCTTGTGATATTATTGGCCAGTTAACTAGTGCGTTTGTATGGTTGCGTGTGAAATCTTATAATCGCAGGCTGTCGTCAGCGCGCTTCGCTCTCGCTACTTTTACAATTTAATCAAATTACATGCATACGCAATCGACATCTCTATTTGACGATATGATTTCATTTTATACTTTAATTTCTCGACCTCGTGTTACTAGAATTTATTGTGGCCAGTGTTAAAAACATTCAAATTAGGCTATATATTATTTACCAATAATTTTAACTAAGGGTATGCTCTGAAGTGTTATTGACTTCAATAATGAGGTTACGAACCTAGTGTTTATAAAATTACTTTGGTGCGATGATTTTTAAAAATCCGGTTTTGTTTTTTTTTTTACTTTTACAAGGTCACGACGACGTAATTCACCTATATATAGGTTCATTAGGAAATCAGCCAAGTTTGATGTAAATACAAATTTAAGGAACTGCGTAAAAGAAGAAAATAGTAGCATTGCAAACTAAAAAAAATATTGAATTTTAAAATTTCAAAAGTAAAATATAAAGATGAAAATTTTAAAGAAAAATGTGAAACCCCTACCTATAATAATAAGTTGATTGACTATTAAAAAATAAATGTAAGTAGCAGCAGTTATAAATTACCGTGTATGTCATAGTCTTGATAGGGGGTTGAGGAGGAAGCCTCTTGATTTGCTCGTCCTCGTCTGAAACAATAAAAAAACAAATCATAAATATGCAGATTATCATACGAGTATAAAAGCAGTAACACATTTAACAAGTCAATGGACTGGCTAAAGGAGGTAGTATTTTGTGCCTATTTGATTTTCGTCATTTAGGTGCTGATAGTGTTGACGTTTAAATCGGAACGAAGTAAAAGTTGTCATTTCCAAGCAATCACCTATCCATTTATAGAGATCAGCGATAAAAATTATTAATAATAACTTTTATTTGTAGTCTATAAATGTTTCCGTTATATTACGTTAGAATTGCATACGTGATTCGAACAAAATAATATTCAGAAATAAATAAAACGTTAATAATGCTCAAATTGCAAATAAGTTTGCGTAAGTTTCCAATATTTTTGCTGATATAATCATTTTCAAAATATCTCGCAATGTTGTGACCTTAATAAATAACAAGAATGCCACTAGTGACAAAATGTGCTAAAACGTTGCCCGCAACGTGTGTACGGTTTTTATTAACAGTTTCTTTCTAGATGTTACTAGTATACACAGATTAGAATATTATGTTTGACTATAACGCCACTGTGGTGCTAGCACGAATACTTGCGACAATCGTTGCAGTATCGTCATCGTCAATTATGTCAAAATTAGCATGAGACAAGCTGTCGCCCGGGACTCTCTCTGTGCCGTTATAAAAAATATCTTAATAAGTAGGCTATGCGTTCTTCCACACTATGTTCTACATCTGTGTCAAATTATATCAATATCCGTTGATCCGTTACTTAAAACTTTTTTTTTCGATGACGAAACAATGGCGATTGCCAGAAACATTCGTGCTAGGCCTATTGTATACTATAACATTTTCAGTAAACCATTGCAATAATTCGATTTATTTGAAAAGACAGTCTATCCACTAACTAGTAAGTTCAGACCGTCAAAGAAAAACACACCAAACAATAAAACAAACACATTTAATTTCAAGTTCCGTGCAAACGAAGTCTTTTGCATACATTTTAATTCTCTTTCAGTCCGCAAGTGGAAAAGTTCAAGGTAAAAAGCTCATCTCGAAAAATGAAGTTATTAGGTCACAGCCTCGCTTGGCGGAGACAGACTTTTTAACGACATAATATACAAATTACGGCCGCCATACACGAACTCCTTAAAACTTCTTCCTAGTGATATAATCGTTGCGATTGGTATTTAGTAAGTAGTAGTAATAAATAAATTCAACAATAATCTTCCCGCTTGAAGTAGTCAGTATCGACTGCTTCTCACTGTCCGTGTATTTTATTCCTTACAAACAAAATGCGGAAACATTCAGAAGTGTGTTGTCATGTCAGAAGTCCAGACGTAGTATCTCCCACTCGATCGTAAACGGAACCATCAAACTATCGCCAGAGAGAGCTCGTAAATGACGGCATACTTGTTTATATTTATTGCCTTACCACTATATTGTTATTAAAACCTATAATCATAAACATTATGAGCAACATTTAACTTTCTAAATATAATAATAGCCAAGTAGAGTAGACTTACAGACTTGCTTCGTTGCTTGAACAACATTGAAAATTAAAATGAATAATATTTCTTTCAAAACTATCTTACTAATATTATAAATGCGAATAATTGGATGGATGGATGGATAGATGTTTGTTTAAAGGTATCTCCAGAACGGCTGAAAGGATCCCACTGAAATTTGGCATAGCTGTAGATCTACTACACGTGGGCTACTGATTAAGGCTGGGCAACCGTAGTTGCGGGCGTCAGCTAGTAACTAATAAAGCTAACCACAAATAGTTATATTTACACATATTGCATTAGCTTCGCTTTGTTTAAGAAGAATAATTTGCATAGGACGCCGTTATGCCCTACTGGTAGCTGCAAACATTACTTCGGTAGAGTTATAGACGAATTAAAGTTAAAATAAATTTACAACTAAATAAATAAAATTTACGGACATTAATTTCTTGTAACGTTAAAAAACTAAATAATCTTTCTTGGAATCTTTCCTATACCGGTTAACATAAATGATTTACCTCAACGTCTTTTAGCATATTATTACAATTTAATTCAAAGCAAATATTGATGTTATGATTTTCATGCATCAAATAACATTATTTACGACACGACGTTTGAGTCAATATTTTCGTTTTATATTCGCGGCACCAAGGACGGACGATGGCGATCATGAATTGCAAAACATGACTGGGAAACTCAAAAGCTTTTCATCAATATATTCATTCTAATACGATTAACATTTTTCGTTACAAAATCAACCAGTTATAAATTGAGAAGTTCCCACTAAGAGACTCGGAGCCCACCTCAAGATAGGGGTGACTACTCCTTAGTAAAGCACGCTGTCCCAGTGCGGACTGGTTGAGTTCACAAATATAATAATGTTGATAACAGACGCTTGTTTGTTTTTTTTATTAATCACAGATTTATTTACGTTAAGTGTTGTTATAAAGCAGGATGACAACGCTATCAAAACCATGTAGTCTCGCACTAATTAACCACGAATACAGTACCAAAGGGCTTGTTAACTTAAGCGTTAAACTTTTAATTAAAGGTGCTCTATAAGAATTTTATGAAGACATTTATAGTGTTTCTGATATACTTATTTACAATTTAAACAAACAGTACGGACCATCATTCATCGTTATTTTGATTCCAAAGCAATTTATTGGTTGTCGACGAGCGCAATAAATCATAGTCGGTCGGTATGAAAATAATTAAAAGGCGAGTCCGTGGTACCGCTCTCTGGAGACAGCGTAAACAAACACTGTAGTTTTATAGCCGTAGTATTAATTATAGCTCGCGTTACAGCCGGATACTGCTTTATAACTGGCATGTTTATTTGGCATTTGGCAGCCAGCCCTCGGGACCAGGGGCCGGTTTGCGACTAACGCGACGATAACGACATGGATGCGATGCCTCTACGACATTTATACATATCGATTTACTACGACTCGGTGGACACAATGGGCATTTTAAGGTATGTGTTTTGATAACACACCGGTTCAAGAGTATTCACAAATACCGGATTCAATATAGGTACCTACGAGATAGTATGAGACGTAGATTTTAATCAGTAAGGGATTGTCACCAATATTCAGCGTCCCGGAGGCCTAATTAAGTCCTCTTTTTCTTCCCACGCTTTTTCTTATAAGGAAAAGATGGGAAGTGGAAGACTTTCCGGATGAGAGGATGCGTGGAAAGGGAAGATATTTTTTTCTGTGCATCCTCTCCTCCGTCGAATTAAGGTAGGGAACGGCAATTGCCAAAATTGCAAAGCAATTGTGTATGTCTATGGGCAACGATCACTTCGCTATTTCAGCGATCTCAGGTGGCCGCTTGCTCGTTTGCCACCTTATGATATAAAAAAAATTAAGCAAACTAGAAAGACGCGTCATTCTTTTTTACTTACTTTCAATAAACTTATGACATTTTTAATATAAGTAAATGCAATACTACTGACCTCTATGAACGGCGTCGAACCTGCCCTCCACCTTGGAGCGCAGCGCCTCCAAGTCAAAGGGGGCCGCGAACCCATGGTCCACGGAGCGACTCTTCGACCTGTAATGTGAATAAGTTATTGATTACTATTACAGAATATAAATAAACGAAAATAAGATTTATATAGTTCATGTAAAGACAAAGAGGGCAGACATCAAATATTATCAAAAACTATCTTTTTAATATGTACATATTGAGACACAAAAATATAAGGTTTCGATACACTTGAGACTCAAACCTCAACTATAAGATCAATTAATCATTTGGGTTCGATCAAAATAAATTATCTCTACCGGATTTCTTTTATAATCTAAATAAAAAAATCATCGTTACATTTTTTTATACAAATAAGCTTATCGGTCATAACAGGATCTTTATGTTGAAATACTACGACTACGATCAAAGTTCATATTCCTACTGCCCTGAACTACATTTGAGAATTTAAATTCAAACATTAAAAAAATGCTGATCCCTTTTGAAGACAAAGATATTATGCCTCTGAATATTCACCTTTCTTTTAAAAGAAAATACAAGTAGTAATTCTAATAAACAGGCCGACTTTCCTTATGATTCACCTTTATGAAGATAATTATTTGTGAAAACGTCTGTTTGTTTTTAAACTGATTTAGTTCATAAAAAAGGCAACCATATTTTTTTGGAATAGTGACAGGTTACACGCTATAAATTAACGCTGATATATGCATTCTCCAAGTGTGTGCTAAAGAGTCAGTCGGCGATCGTATCTCTATCACAGATGACGTTAGGCGAAGTATTTCAGTGTCACTGTACTGATAATATGCTGGCCACTAAAAACAAATGCCCTAAATAACATTCAGATGAAAACGCAAGTAAATTCCATGAGGAAAATACCAACATGTCACTAAAAAAATATGGATCCATAAACTTCTTAAAATAGTAAATGTAGAACAAACTTTATTACAGTAAATTGCGTGAAAATTTTTCCAGGAAGTAAATGTAAAATCAATTTTCCTTAATCTTTTGGGAAAACTAAAAGAATATACAAAATTAGAAAGAAGAAGCTTATAATAATCTAAAAATAAAAATGTTAATCTTATTAAGCTAGGTCTCTACGCATTCTAATCACAAGCTAATAAAACAAACAGAAATTAACTATTAAAAGGATCAGCAATGAGAACAATAATGTTTCGATTGATGGGTGACTTAGGGTTGCTTGTTGTGGTAGATAATTGAATGATATTTGTGTGAAAAATACCTCTTGTAGCTTTGGTCGATGCTCTCCGCGCTCCTCGACAACTGCTGCGAAGCGCGTCTAGACCTGCATGCAACAAACAACGAGCTAGATACAGGCAATGCATGCAAACAACTAAACTATATACTCAGACTTTCATTGCAAGCTAATTAAAAAAGCTAACATATTAAATCAAAAACAAAATACTGAATGATATGACTACTTCAAGCTTTCAACAAATGTCTGAATAAGATATAAAATGATAGTTTTCGCATCTGTTATTTAATTAAATTAAAAAGTTTTATTAAAAAATCAAATGCGATAACTCTCATAAATATAGCCGTTAAAACATACAGCTACGTGCAAAAAAATAATATCAAAATGAATAGGTCAATAGCAAATTAAGGGTTGACTACATGCGCAGTACGAACGAGATGTATATATAGAGTGAACGTTCATATTCATAGAAACTTTCTCGCGGAGCATTGTGCTTCGTTCTCCTTGTGAATAATGATGTTAATTTGAATGCTACGTTACCGAGATGTGAAACACGACCTCCGCGATGTACATGCGCTCCGTAATACTAAATAATGGCACATAACTTTAAGTGTACGCTTTACTAATTACTCTAGCAGGCGGGCCCATTGAAATTTCTCTGAGTGTTGGCTTTTACTCTTTCTATGGATTTTTTATTTATTTAAAACTTAATATTACATTTCATATAGAATTACCACGACTAGCGACTTTTGCAAAATATGTAATATTGTAAAATACATCGATATATTATAAATAAATAGCAAAACAAATCAACAGTCTTGGAAAGATAACGCATAGCAAGAAAATATTATTCCGAAATTAGCATAAGTGACTCACAAAAGAAAGGAATGGAAGCTATAGTTTTCACAATGATAGCTTAGACGAGACAAAATAAACGATAACAAATACAATAAGAATTGCGAAAGAATTGTACTTGATTATTTCTTTGTTCACAAATATATTAAAAATGTTAGTATAAAAAGAATATTTTACATTAATTGGCAAAAATACCCTATTTTTTAGACGCTGAAAATACTTTAAGGCATTGGGACAGGCTGTAATTAACTTTAAAAAAAATATAATATCTATATAACAGGAAAAATTAAATGTTCATAAAGTCCTTGAATAACAAATAAAAACCCAGGTAATGTTTAATGACACAATATATGTGTCATCAAATAACGTTACAATTCCACAATCAACTATTAAGGTACATCTATACTGATCTATACTAATATAAAGCTAAGAGTTTGTTTAAATGCGTTAATTTCAGGAACTACTGGTCCGATTTGAAAAATTCTTTTTTTGTTGGATAGTCCATTTATAGAGGAAGGCTTTAAGCTATATAACATTATGCTGCGACCAATAAGAGCGATCAGTGAGAAATGTTGCAAAAACGGGGAAAATTATTCACATTTGAGGACTTTCGTTGCGTGCGCTACATAAACGGTTTAAGTTACTCAAATAATATATATGAAAGTATTATTCCTTTTAATATGTCTACAGTATATAGGCTATATAATATTTAAATGATTGCATGAATGGAAAATGTTTGAAGGTATCTCTAGAACGACTTAATGGATCTCGATGAAATTTGGCATACATATAGAACATAGTCTGGAATAACAAATAGGCTGCTTTCTCTTTTAATTCCGCGCGGACGAAGTCGCGGGCGACCGCTATAAGTTCACAACTCAAATTACACTTTTGAATTTAATTTTTATAGAAAACAAAGTAATTATCGAATGTATCATAAAGCTGTAAAATCTATCAAGTTGTAGGGAAGTTAAAGAACTCATTTATCATTTTCCAACGTTGGCGGAGAAAAACAAATGTGTTTGCGCAATAACTGTCAAGAGAGCAATCTAATTTACGTGGACTGCGCCATTGTCTAGTTATTTGCACTGGAGAAAATTAACGTCACACAGTGATGGATTGAATCTACACGGCTCTTAGAAACAGTAAACGTTCTCCGTAAAAAGACGGTCGAATGTCTTCGAAATTAAGGAAATTTGTTCTTCTATTCTGCCTAAAAATAACTGTTTTATTAATCGTTGAAATAATTTGTGTAATCAGTATTCTTGTAGGGATGTTATTTAATTATTTTACAATTTTTTTTAATTACCTTTTTTCAGTTATACTAAATAAATAGCAATCAATAACTTGAAATGAACACATTATCAAATAAAACCAAATTGATCGAATAACATTCAAGTTCAAACGATTGGGGTTAAGTTCGTATGTCACGCAGACAAGCCCTCTGGGGGAACAGGATTTGATTAAACCAGTATAAGTTGATCTCCGGCGCGGCTCTACCGCTTACATTCATGAAGCGCTTTATGAATGTGTAAGTTAAGTGAAGCCGGTTGGGCTTATCACTGAGGACGGGAACGTCCTTGACACTTGCCGACAACTCGACACAATTGTGTTTGAGCATTCACTAACATGTCTCCATTATGAATGTTATTATACTCAATTATACAAAATCCTAACGTTAAAATTACAAAATTAATTAACTGATGTACTCAGATAGAAGATACCTCATACCAAATCTAAACTAAAGAAAGACCTTAGTGATCACTTAACAACTCTGAGTCTAGTAATTGTAACGATAATTGACCAAGTCTTTGAATTATTTTATTTACTAGGCAAATGCCGTACGAATAATTAGCTTCTAAATACAAATACATATTCCTATTTAAAATATTAGTCACAAGGAGGAGCATATGGATTATGCACTCTACGTTGTGTGCTGAAGGTTACTAAACATACGATGCTTTTAACCACCACTTATAAGGAATTACAATAGACGGTACTATATTTGCCAATGGTTGCACTTATAGCAACACATCATCAGCTCACTATACGTCCCCACCGAGGGGCTCGGAGCCTACCCTAAGTTAAGGGTGATTAGACCATAGTCAACCACGCTGGCCAAGTGCGGGTTGGTTTACTTCACACATATCTTTGAATTTCTTCTCAGATATGTGCAGGTTGCATCACGATGTTTTACTTCATCGTGAGAACGTCGGATAAATGTACATATGTAAATCGGAAATCGAAAAACACATTGGTACATGGCGGGATTCGAACCCAGGACCTGCAAATTGCAACTCAAGTGCTTGACCACTGAGCCACCGACGCGGCAGCAAACAGCAACACACAATAGTATAATATTGAACATAGACTAGTCACTAACCTACGTCAACACATTATCTATGGAATAAATAAATAGAAGAGGCGCGTCGTATACTAGACAATGCCAACATATTCCTTCAAGTCAAGTTGGCATTCATACATATGTCACCATAAAAATATTAACAAGTGTTGGCTTAACTACAAAGTAAATAAACAATAGAACAATCTTATAAAAATGTATATCCAACTAGCTGTCGCCAGCGACTCCGTCCGCGCGGAATAAAAAGGAAAACTTAATTAGTAGCCTATATGTTCTCCCGGGCTATGTTCTACATCTATGCCAAATTACAGCGAGATCCTTGCAGCAGTTCTGGAGATACCTTCAAGCAAACATCTAAACATTCGCATTTATAATATTAGTAAGATAAAAACATTCTTAAACGACAATTTATTGTAGGCGGTGAACAATGTATCATTGTGTTCAAAGAGTACCATAACAAAGTCACATGACACTAGTGGGAATCAGTACCATGGGACTATCAAGTCAGCCGTCACTAAAGCAAAACACATTCCAAACAATTTTACGCTTTCGACCGCCCAAGTAGTAAACAAACGTATAATATTTCAATCAACGACATCATTAGATTATATTGTTGACAGGATATCAAATACTAAACCTCCAATGTATGTCCTAACTAAGCAGTTGTTGATAAGTTTGTATGCTTTTGCACACTTTTACTGCTTTGTTTTGTTTCACCTATCAATGTGTTTCTTATTATAACTACCAATAGTGTCACATCGGCTGAATTCATAACAGTGAAATCTAAATCCAAGTCCATACGTAGATGTAAAGTACACAACATTATTAAAGGACGACCATCGCTTTTTCAGAGATATATGTTTTCTGCATATCTTTAACGTGACCATTAATGCATACAAAAGGGATATCAACGTACGTTTCATACTAATATCACTAATAGGAAAGGTTACCTTGCTTGTATGTTTGCATTGAATAGGTTCGAAACTACTGAACTAAAATTCTTGCACTGTTCAGAAGCTACACTATCCTCGGGTGCTTTAGACTATATTTATTGCTAGCTTTTTAATTCCTCGTGGACAAAGTCGCGGGTAACTGCTAGTTATTAATAAAATGCTTAACAATGAAATAAACAATCTATAATAGTTACATTAGATTCGTATTAGTTACACGCAATATTGTGTAATGTAAACAATTAACTCATTATTGCCTCTACCATTACTAGAATAATGATCGTTAATCGGAATCATCCCGCGTGGGAGCAGTTACACACATGCGAAACAACTATTAGGTTTCCAACAAAAAGGCCATGGTCACGACTAACTGGTCTTTTCTAATCTTACGATTTTTTTTTAGTCTTACTAATATTATAATTGTTAAAGTTTGAATGGATGGATGGATGTTTTCAGAAGATATCTACAGAACGGTTGCATGGATCTCTCTGCAATTTGGTATAGATGAAAAAAAATAATCTGCAAGAACACATTGGCTACTTATTAAGTGTTTATTTTTATTCCGTGCAGACGCAGTCGCGGGTAGTAGCTTATTCAATACTAATATGAAAATATACGAAAATAGTAAATAATATAATAAATAACGTAAATTCCGAAATAATCTAGTAATTGGAGACTAAATTGTAAAGAAAATCTATCTAAAAAAGTAACAATTGAAAAATAGAGATATCATAAACCTCTATTAACCTAATCCATTAAGGCTTTCAACCCAAATAGTTTTAGTTTTATGATTGCGCAAACTAAATCAGTCGAATATAAAATGCATTGTACCACCATAGTTGCGATGTATCAGAGCAATTCAAATTTCATTAGGACTAAAGCAGCCAGTACACAATAGTAAGGCTAGCCAACAACACATAGAC